GATAAAGTAACAAAATAATTTTGCCCTTTCCTTGCCTTCATTGTGATGCCTTTTGATTTAAGATGATACTAAATTTGTCCCTTGTGTGACAGCAAGATTGAACAGGAAAGAAAAAATATCCTAAGCTTCCTATTATTTTCTCTGAAAATGGTTTTCCTGCCTAAATATTTTGAGCTTTTTAGTTTGTATTATTGCTAAATTTTGTCCCAGAATATTTGTCATCAGAACTGCTACAGAAGAGTTTGGCCAACAGTGAAGTGACCAAAGCCAAGCTCCAGCTACATACGATGTTCCACACAGTCAGGACCAGGTGTTTTCCACACAGAACTTATCTCTGGCCATGACTATCTGTACTCCTGGATACAAACAGTGGAGATGGACTGGTGAGTGCATGCCAGTATGGCCTTTATTCCTTTACGGTGGGATTGGCTCACACACTCAAGAAAGCTGTCCATTGCAAAGTTCTAGGTAGAGAGCTTTTTGCCATTTGTCAAAGGCAGGCAGGCAGGTGTTATAGTTCAATGTTCAAATGCTGAGAGCAAATAGATCTACCTAACTTGCTCTCTAGCTATGTGACATTAGGCAAGGTGCTAAATTACTCTCATCTTCTGTTTTATCTCTAACATGAGGATAATACAAGCATCAAATGCACTATTGTCTTGAGAATTAAATAAAGTAATAGGTATAAAGTTCTTAGCATAGTTTCAGGCTCATATTAAGTGGTTGATAAATGTTACCTTATTATTATTTGATTAACTTTACTTATTTGCTTTTACTCCCATTAATTGATGGCTATTAAATCAGATTATAAATATGATAATGTTGGAAGATGCTTGTCTCCACGTTTTCAGAAACAAAGACAACCAATCTGTTCTACTCAAAAATATTAAATCTTAGAAATCCAAGGTTTTAATTCCAAGAGCTAATTAGAAATAGTGAGGGATTTTAGTTTGGAACATAACATAAGGCTTATTCTAGGATTACGCTAACGAATTTTTAAAAAAATTTTTGAATATGCTGTTGCAGAAAAAGCTACTAAATGTGCTGAGCAAGGTGTAGAGGTAAAGTATGAGTGTAAAATCTCTCCAAATGCCACACAACACATGAGCATGCACACACACACACACACACACACACACGAGTGCGTGGGCACACACAAAATGAAGCAGCATTGAATTTTCTGACAGAAGTAGCTGCCTCTTTGTATTACTGCTGAACTTGCTGAAATGTCTCCATTCATGGTAGTGCATTTGAAAAGGGGATTCAAAAATATAAAAGTTGTTCTTTGTGGGCTTGCCAGAGCCAGTCACACCCTGAGGACCGCAGGGGGCCCTGTGGCTGAGGGCCCAAAGGCCCCTTTCTGCTGATTGTCTGTCAGGGCCAGCAGGAGGAGGGGAGCCATGCTGTCCCAGCACAAGAGCTGACCAATCTCTCCACCAAAGGTGTAAAGCAAGAGAAAAGCAAATTACGAATACAGCCACTCTGAAAAGTCACCATGTGGACACAGATGTGTGCCCTTGTTTTAAGAGAAAAATGTCCTTAACTTTTCTTTCTATGAGAAATATTAAATAGGGAAAATAGGAAGTGAGACAAAAATATTTTCATTTCCTTGACCAATGACCTTTGAAACATTGGAATTTCCTTTGGCAGAGTTAAAATGAAAACTAGGTAAAAACTCACATCACCTCCTTGGCTCCCTTTGTCCCTCACACATGGTACACGACTGCCAGGGCAGCTACCACAGAAGGATTTATAGATGGGGATGATGGAAGATGGAGTCTCGGTCTCAGGTGGTGGCTTGCAGCCTGCCCAGGCTTTGGCCTGCAAACGAAAGCGAAGGCCATTTAACAGTGTGTCACTCTGCTAATTAGTGACAAATCTGGCTAGTTTCTACATGTGAGGAGGCTTGAGATCACCCTGGCCCCATCTGCTCTGAAAATAACAATAACCGAATTTTAAGCAAAAGCTTGGCTTTCACGAGAGCTCCTAGTTGGTTTTTCATAGGAAAATGATCTACAAAGATGTATATTTTCAGCACTGTATTTGTTTTTGTTGTTGTTTTATGCAGCTAGGAATGTTTTTCAATGTCACTGTTGTCATGAGTGTTAATGAATCCCCCAAATCTAAAGAAGAACTTTCTATTTCTTCTGTTAATTTTCCGACAAACACAGAAATCTGCAGGAAACATAGTCTAAACTTAGCTCTGCAGGGTAAAGTAGCTTCCCTTTATTCCATCTGCCTCCCTTCATCTTTTACTGCTGAAAGGAAACCATGCTTCCAAAAGTTGATTTAAGTGGAGGCCAACTCTTCTTGGAGAAAATGGCAGGAGATGTGCCCTATCTTTACAATGGTTTTTAATCTGGGTAACTCATTTTTTTTCTATGCGTGCTTATTTGTTTCCTTTTTAGTCAGCCAACAATTGCTTGCTTTGCCTTATTTTTATCATATTTACCCAAAATTAAAAGCCAGAAAAAAGTACATTTTTTTAAAAGGGCAAAAATTTACCAAAAGCAGTGGATAGCTTTCCTCAGATCCTACATAGAGATTCCAAAAATAAGTAAGGAAAGGTACAAACTTTTTTTGTTTTTCCTCTCTTCTTATGGTCTGAGCAGAGATGTGTACTCCCTTAGTTGTGTCATTTAATCTCTTCCTGGATTATCTAGGCACCTTCAAGCATAACCTTCTTCTTGAGCTGTTATTCCTAGTAACTCCCAGCAACTCATTTTCAGAAATATCTTTTTTAAGCCAGTAAGAAGCAAAAGTCCTGTACTACTTACAGTAATGTTCATTTTTCTGGTAATTAATTCATTGTGGTCCTATTGCCACGAGAGCGACTTTACCTGTATATCCATCTGCTCTGTATCCCCGAATACCTGAACCTTTGCTGATGAGTATACCTTTGAGTTTGCAGAGATTAATGATTTTTAAATTGACTCTATAGACCACTAGTAATGAAATTGACCATATCCAATTTTGAAAGCCCTAAGGCCAGGGAGAAACTGTAAATTAGCAGTGAGCAGGTAGTGAGTTCCTGCTGTCGCAATGCCCAGGCTGACACAGGCCCACTGGAGTGCTGCAGAACTGAGTAGGGAAGGTTAATATGGTCTCACTAGGTTAAGGGGCAACCTGGCAACATGACATGTGAGGCAGGTTTAGGCCTGGTACATTTATAATTCCTGAAGGACTGAAGTAGAAACAGGACATTATGCTAGTACCCGAAAGGCATGATACACAATTAAAAGAAAAAGGAAGTCTCTCATAGGCTATCATCTTGCTTCTGCTAAAGTAATACAGTGGTAGCAAAAATATCAGCTAATGTTTGTTGAATATTTATTATGTTACACACAGTACGTAGTATGCACTATTCCATCAGTTCTCACCAGAGCCCAAGTTAGAAACAGTGTTTTTTCTGTCCCCATTACACATTTGCAGAAACTAGGGCAGACTAAATAGCTCGGTTCACAGTTGAGTTCTAGTTCTGACAGTTGAACCTCAATCTGATTCCATAGTCAAGGACTTGGCCACTAACTTTCACTGCCCAGCCTCTCTGCAGACCGTCGGCTCTACAGCAATCACTGGACTGGGAAGAATGAGTCAAGATGGTCCACACAGCCATGGCTTTCATCATCTGAAAGCCTTTTAAGTAACAGCTCCACCTTCTTATGAAATCTACTCTTTGTTTAACACCAACTTAAATTTCTCATCCTGCCTTTCAGATTTGTAGCTCTCACTTTCTCTTGTCCAATTAGGTGGTCAATCAATAGGGTCTTCTTAAGCCCTCCAGGAAAAGACAAACAAAGAAAATGTTCCTGTCCCTGCACTTCCTCAGTTAGATCTCCAGGCTCCCATCAAGCCCTCAGTGGGTCCCTTCCCACTGGGACATCTGGGCACCTTCCTGGCTAAAATAGGCCGCCTGCAGGACTGAAAAGCCTGGCACTATAGGCCAAGTGACTAAATGCTTAGATGCAGAGCAGTACTATGTGTAACTGGGCTCACTGTCTCATGCAGATCAATCCCTACCTTCAAACACTGCAACATGGCAATTGAAATGTAGCTGAGGAAAGATTTATCCATGCATTTTCTCACATTCAGGTTGACCTTACTGTGCTACATTAGAGTGAAAGTGCCATTTTAAAGACTGACTTTTATGAGACCTAAAACTCTTTATATTCCCATTTTTCTTCTTTCTCCCCATTCCTCATCCTCTTCAACATTTCTCAATGGCTCTGTTCTCAGCAATACCACTTTTAAATTGAACATGTGCTTTACAAAAACAAAAGCTAAAGAGTAGTGTGTGTTCTGGATTGATTTTCAATTTCTTTTTAAGAAAAACCCAGAAAGCTTGGCTCAAAAAAAGGAGTAATCAACATTCAGTGCTTGGTTTGCTGCCTTATTCGTTTTTCTTTGCGTCTACATACACACATTTCAGGCTAACCTTGCCTGGACAACCCCTTGGGCTTGGCCAGTTTTGAAGTGGATTCCATTTATGTGATATCATCTTGGAAAAACAAAGGGAATTTGTGATCTCAAACACTAGAAAAATGTGCCATATTACTCTGCCGTTTTCCTGTCTCCTCCATCTTTCTCCCTGACTCCATTGGGCAAGGATACTCTTTAAATGAAACTCATCTGTAGATCATAAAATGGAACAGATAAATGACTTCCTTTGTCTTTACATAATTTTTTATCAGTTTAACAAGCCAAATGAAACACAGGTTTGCATTTTTGTCTCATGGAAAATGGCATTATTTTTCCTAGCCATGTCCCAGTTCATATACATTTGAATATGTATCCTGGACTCTCCTCGCCCCACAGTGACCAGCTTAGCACCTGCAGCCCCCCATCCTGTCCCCCATCCCCCACCTCCTGGCTGTGCCGCTGACTGGTTCCACACTACAGAGGCACAGGGTGTCACAAAGGCCATTGTCCTGAGCTCCAGAAGATAAAGCAGAAGTGAACAACAGAAAGAGGGCCTCTCTTAGGCTCCTTGATGAAAATTGAAGCCCACTGGCAAAGTGAAGAGAATCTCTGCAATAAAGGCACACCAGACCACCATGCTTGGTAGGTTGGAGGGATCATCGCCTCCTCTGGGAACCTGGACTATCTTCAGGGGGAGGGCAGCTGGAACCTGCACTAAAACCTTTCAGAGTTCAACCCTACAGGAGGACAGGGAGCTCAACTTGGAACTTGCAGCCAGAAATCTGCCTGAATCTCACAGTTCTGCTACTGGCTTGCTGAGACTTATTGACTTATATCTGAACACTGCTGCCCACGTTGTCTATTGTGACAGCAGAGACATACCCTGAAGGAGGCCCTTCATTTTTATTTTTTATTTGTTATTTTCAAAATTATTATT